ACCGCGAACCCTAAACCCTAAACCGTGAACCCTAAACCCTGAACCCTAAACCGTGAACCCTAAACCGTGAACCCCTAAACCCGAAACCGCTAGCAGGGCCCGACTCGCCCCGGAACCAGGCTATGGGTTAGGGCCTAGGGCTTCTAGGGTTTAGGGTTTTTTTTTTTTGAAGTTGCTGTCTCTTTGGGTTTAGGGTTTAGGGTTTAGGGTTTAGGGTTGAGGGCTTTCTTACAGCATTTAGGGCGTTAATATCGGGGCCTTAAGAATTAGAATAGGGTTTTGGAGTATAGTATACTATGAATATAATCAGGAACCCTCCAAAATAGTCCAGGTAAGTATTAAGGCCCCCATATTATGTGCTTCAAGGGCTTCTAGGCTTGTTGGGCTCTTGGGGTTTAGCCTTTAGGCTTTAAACCCTCTTTGTTCGGCTCAACCCTGAACCCTAAACCCCTGAATCCCTAACGGGCTCGAGGGCTTTTAGGGTTTAGGGTTTAGGGTTCAGGGTTTATAGGTTTAGGGTTTACGATTTAGGGTTTAGGGTTTGGGGGTTTACGGTTTAGGGCTTAGAGTTTTTTCAGCATTGGGCAGCCTTGCTCTTGCGAGCTTGCTCGTGCAGCGCTAGCGTCCGATGCGACCTGGGCTCGTCAAAACAGGCTTCTCTCTTCAGGGTGAGCAATAAGCTTAATGCTTAAAGGAAACTACAGGTGGGGAGTTTAGGGTATATAGGGCTTCTATCAGGCAAATAGACCTTCTATAAGGCTCCTATAACGGTAACTACCCACCTGAACATGTCCTAGACCAGGGACCTTATAATAAGGAAGTCTGAGCAATAATATTACTAATTGTTCCAGCCCCCTTTGTTTTGAAGGTTGAACTTTGGAGTTTGGGTTCAGGGTACTCTTCCTTTGCAGTGATGCTGTCCTACAACTTTGCTTGGAGACTGGTTGACCACCGTTCTCTCTTGATCCCTTACGTCCGTCAACAGCCCCGGTTTCACGGCTTTGGGTTTAAGGCCTAAGGCTTTCGGATTTCACTCTGAGGCCCTGAACCTTGAACCCCCAAAACCATGCCCACATCAGGAGGCTTCTATAAGCTCGATCAAGCAACAAACCACAGACCTCTAAACCCCAAAACCCTAAACCCTAAATCCTAAACTCCAAAACCCCAACAGCCTAAACCCTGAACCCTAAACCCTAAACCCTAAACCCAAAACCCCGAAACCCTAAACCCTAAACCCCTAAACCCCTAAACCCAAACCCTAAACACCGGGTCATGTCTGTATGAGGCATTGCAGGGCTCGGGCTAAAAAAAATTGGTACGGGATTTAAGGAGTTCGTTTTCAGGCTTAGGGTCTAGGGCTTAGGGTTTGAGGGTTTAGGGGTTTAGGGCTTAGGGTTTAGGGTTCAGGGTTCAGCTACCATGTGGGTAATCTATGGTAGCCCAAGAGGCTTAATAGACAGAACAGTGTTTAGGGGAATACTATAACGTAGATAGACTGGGAACCCTAAGGGAGAAAATTCAGAATTATGCAGGCTTGTGTATTCATCTACCAACAAGCCCCCTAAACCCAAACCCTGAACCCTTAACCCCCAACCCTGAAACCTAAACCCAAACCCCTAAACCTCTACAAGGAACTACGGCTGATGATAAAAATCCTGCATTACCTATAGGAGTATACCACAATTCCCATAGTTCAGGGTCCTTAAGGTACTGCAGGAGTTCTATCATCAACAGTAGTGGAGTTAAACCCTAAACCCTAAACCCTAAACCCTAAACCCTAAACCCTAAACCCTAAACCCTAAACCCTAAACCCTAACCGGGGTGTGTCGAGTTGGGAGCTCCGCCTGTCAGCCCGAGACTCCGGGGTCGGTTGTGGAATAGCAAAATTTAGGGTTCTAGGCTAGGGTTTAGGGTTTAGGGTTTAGGGTTTAGGGTTTAGGGTTTAGGGTTTAGGGTTTAGGGTTTAGGGCTTACTGCTACTATCAGAGTTCCAATTTATAGAATGAGGTTTAGGGGCACGTTTTACCAGCATCTCCAAGGAATGCTATTACGTGACGTTTTTTCTTTTCTGAGCTTTGGAGGCCTAAAACTTCTGCTCGATGTTGTGGGTTGGATCAGGGCTTACGGTTCAGGCTTGCAGAGCAAGATCTACATGCTACAACAAATTCGAGTTCGTTGGTTATCCCCCTGTTTAAGTCGGAGAGCCCAAGGTACGGGAGCTGAGGCTTCATGGTCCAATGTAGGGGCCTTAATAATTAGAGTAGGGTTTTGGGCCCCATTATACTATAAGAAAAAAGGAACTCCCAAAATAGTATTGGTGACTATTTAAGCCCCTACATTGCGGAGATTGACATTTGAGCGGGGGGGTCAAGTTTCGGGCTTTAGGTGCTGGGGGGCCATGGGATCTCGCCGCTGACGTCGCAGTAGTCTGTGCCACAGCGGCAGCAGCAATCTAGAAGGAGCTCGCCCTGGCAAGGGCTTGGGCTTTTGAGGATGTGAGGCTTCAGGGTTTAGGGATTGGGGTTTAGGGTTTAGGGATTGGGGTTTAGGGATTGGGCCTTAGGTTGAGGGTTATTGAAATTACAAAACCGCAAATACTCCCATGCCTGAGAGCTGGAGAGTGACTTGACTACATCGATCATTATCGTGATGCTGGTGACGTGATCGAGAAGTAGACCGAAGAAGACGAACAGGAACAAGAACATGATGATGATGATGATGATGATGATGATGATGATGAAGACGATGATGATGATGATGATGGTGATGATGATGGTGGTGATGATGGTGGTGATGATGGTGATGATGACGACGATAATCATGGTGGTGGTGGTGGTGGTGGTGGTGGTGGTGGTGGTGGTGGTGGTGGTGGCGGCGGTGGTGGTGGTGGCGGCGGTGGTGGTGCTGCTGCTGCCGCTGCTGCTGCTGCCGCTGCTGCTG